AACAATTTTAGTGATTTTTAAAAGTGAAGCAATATTCACTTCAACAATGTCATGAATTACTTCATCAGATTCCAGAGTAAAAGGTGTAGGAATATCATGATTTGTACCAACATTATTAATTAAAACCCCAACATCAAACTCTTTAATAATATTTTTCAAGTTTTCATAATCTTTTGGATCACCTCTGGCAAAATTCATTGGATATACTTTACTTTTAACATTGTATTTACTTTCTAATAGAAAATTAAAAAATTATATTTAATTTCAAAATAATAATAAAAATAGATAAAATTTATTGGAAAACACAAACCAATTTCACTTGATAGATCTTGTAATTTTGATAAGGTTCTTGAGATTAATAAAACATTAAACTTAGCTTCTGCAAGTTGTAAAGCAAATTCTTTCCCAATTCCATCAGATGCACCAGTTATAACTATAAAATGATAGATTAAATCAATTTATTTATATATGTTTTTATAACCATAGAATAATTTATTATTAATTTTTACCAGCCCAAGTATCTTTTCCTGCTCCAAAATGCTTTAACTAAATAATTTAATTTTAAATAATCGATTTTAATTTTTCCATCAAAAACAAAATATCCATTAAAGAAGTTTATTATTTACGCTTTTTCCAGGTCGAATATAAACATCATATAACATTCGTAAAAAACTTAAAGACTTTAAAGAAAAAAACAAAGCACCAATAACAGCAAAACTGGTAAGAAGTGGTGCTGCAAATTTATTATCTGTTGTCATTATATACATATATGCATTATATTAATTGAATAAATAATTAATGATTTTAAAAAAACTATATACGTGATTTTTTTTTATTTAAGCAAAAAATAATTATAATTTTTTTTTACCATGAATTATTTCGATAAGTTTACTATCAAAAGACATTTTGGAATTAGGTAAATGAATTTTTTGTGAAGAGGAGGAAGATACCATTTTTTTTCTTAAATTTTATATTTTATTTGGAAATCTACGATCTACAACTATTAATCTTTATGTTAATCACATGAAAATTATTTTAATTGATTTTTAGATTTACAGCAAGAAAATAAGCGTTTTCTTTTTCAAGAATTCCTGCTTTCATTGGTGTTTGCGTTCCAGACACAAAGCCAGTAAATTTGGGTTTGTTACTATCCTTTAGTGTCATAGCCAATCATCAAATTTACCAATCCCGAATACAATTTATAAAAAAATCGCACTTTGCTATTACTATGTCTATTATGCTAAATGTAATTACAACCGATTATCTTAAAAATCACCAATTCGTACATAAATTAATAATTTAGTTTTTTTCTATTCACACTGATCCTTTTTACAAAGTAAATTCGTTGATTTCAGTATTAGCTTATTGCCTGGCATTATGCCATCAAAATCACGGTTTTGTAATTACAGTGAACAAATATTAATTTTTAATACAATCTGTGGAAGTTACACGAATTTTGCTCATAATTTGATTAATTAATTAATTAATTAATAATAAATGTCAATTTTTGAAATAAAATAAAACATAAATAATAAATAATAATAATGTATACTTTGTTTAGTGGTTTACACCAATATCTTACAAGGAGAGAAGAGTACTATGTGATTATATTAGGACTTGATAATGCTGGTAAAACGGTAAATTGACAAATATTTAGAAACGAATATTATTTATACAAGGGAAAAAAACTAGAGATTTAAAATGTAATTTTTTAATCGTTGATAAATTATTGTTTGTTATTGAATAAGACACTTTTAGAACGTGTTAAATCGTTATTTCTTGGAGTCACTGGTTTATCGCCGGACAAAATTGCACCAACTGTTGGTTTAAATAGTAAGTCATTAACACTATGGATATACTATTTTAATTTATTTGTTATTAATTCTTTACAAAATTAAAATATTTATTTAGTTGGAAAAATTGATATAAATAGATCAAGATTAATTTTTTGGGATTTAGGGGGACAAGAAGAACTTCACAACATATGGGAAAAATATTACAGTGAATGTCATGGTATTATATTTGTAGTGGATTCAATTGACAAAAAAAGAATTGAACGATGTAAAGAAATATTTGGTAGTTATTATTGTTATTATTATTATATTATGTAAAAAATTATAGTAAAAAATAAAAAAATAGGCAAAAAAAATATTAATAAATTCTTCTCCTTCTTTTAATAATTAGAAAAAATAATTACAAATGATGAAGTAGAAGGTGTGCCAGTATTAATGCTGGCCAATAAACAAGATATACCTAATGCTCTTAAAGTTGAAGAAATTAAAGAAATTTTCAATAAAATTGCTTTAAAATTAGGAGCAAGAGATTCAAGAGTTTTACCAATTTCTGCTTTAGAAGGGTAATTTATTTATTTAATTAATTATCATTGATAGGTGAATATTATTGTTGTTGTTATTTTATTATAATATTATTAATTTCTTGACTATTGTAGAATCGGGGTAAAAGAAGCAATAGATTGGTTATTCATAAGAATACAACGTAATAAACAAAACCGGCCACCAATATTTAAATAACGGCTTTTTTATTTCAATTCTTTAAATAATAATAATGTTTGTTTGTATTATATACAGTACATAGATGTAAATTACATTTTAAATTAAATTTTGTTTTTTTAATATAAAGTGAACTTTCAATTATAACTATAATGAATATGAATGTAACGATATAAGTTGATTATCTTTATAAAATAAAAATGTAAATTTTAATTATAATGGGCAATTAAACTTGCATAATGATATGTGTGGACAGTATATGTAGCTTAATAATAAATATCAATCACCAAGTTTTTTATTTTCGATAAAATTTAATAATGAATTCTTTAATTGACTGACTACATGAAGGTATACATGTATTAATAAATAATATTTATTTATTTAAAAATCACATATAATAGTAATATTTTCTTTTATTTAATTGGCGTGGCCTTTTCACAGTGACATATAAATTCAATACCAATTCTTCATTTTCTCAAATCTTTTATCAAAAGTCTCAAAAATAATTATACGCATCAGCGTATATAGATGGATTACCAATTCTACCATAGAAATCGTGGTTCTTAAATATAAATTTTATCATTATTAGATGTCAACATGTTGGAACTTTTATAATCAATGTTGATGTTGATGTTGGTTTAATTAATTACAGTTAAGCTCTTTTGGATTGATTATTAATAATCTAAATATGGCTCAATAATATCTACAAAAGGTTCATCTGGAATAGATTTCTTATTTCTGGTATAAATTCAATAATTTATCAAAAACCAAAAATCAAAACAATATTATCAGAACAATAAACAGGTGTAAAAAATGAGAAATCGTATGCATATACAATAAGAGATGATTAATGTCCACGACTTTTGTTATACCATTATAATCTAAAGAATAATAGTTTAATAATAATAATACCATTAAGATAATATATATGGATTATCTTTACCTTCTTGTTATCATCTCAAACATTTGTGGCAACATCAGCATTATTAACAACAATCCTAAGAAGGATAAAGAAATTGTTATATTTGTAAAAGATTATTTATAAATTTGAAAATTAACTGTCAAATTTAGAAATAATTTTTCATTATTATTTTTTTGATTACTACAAACAAAGGATACGTAATATATCCACATTGGAATTTCAAAATCTTATTTAACTTCATCAAAAAACAAATCTTTTTTTTTCACTTGTTGTTTATTTAATTCTTCAATAATAAGATAATGGTAATTAATTCTTTTTTAATAGTTAAGTATTAACAATAGCAATTCAATTCTCTTTAATAACTAATAATTAATAGTAATTTATTTAATTGATAATAATAATATGTCTATTAATTACAGAACTTTTAAGAAAATGACAAGTCAAAAGCGCAGAACAATGTTTTCTGAAAATCTACCATATCTCAAAATATGGCACTCTTGAACATCAACGTATAACCAGTAAAGATTGTCCGTTACAAAAAGTTAGTCGAGCAAAAAAAAACTTATTATCTTGCTTGATGATTCAGCCAACCAGAATTAGTACTATTATTACCATTGAAGGAACAACTTTATAGAGTGGTTCCAGATCAAATACCAATAATTAATTATAACCTTATTCGGAAATTATTTCAAGCCGTTTCATGTAGAGAAGGATCTCGTGCTCCAGAAAGGAAGCATTACGTGATAATCATTATGCTAATCAAAGACTTTCAAATATGCAACAATTATAATCAATGTAAAAATTATCTTCTTACATAATCCTTACTCAAACGAAGCTTTTTATAAGGATTATAGAATTACTGCGATCTGTGTAAATAATCATGGGGTCTTTATAATATTTTTGCAATATTGATTGATCGAGTTATCGATTTTTTGATCGAAATCTAATGTATATATATATATTGTGAGGTCACGATATATATATAAGCCTTTAATTTTCTATAATTCGTTTCCTATATTTATTCATTACCTTTATATTATCGTCTTCGCCTGGATAGCAAAAGAATAATAATTAACAAAATAAACTCTGCGATAGAATTACAATAATTTATTGCCTAACATTGAATATAAAATCAATTAATATTATATAACACAGTGTTTATTTTGTTATAAATGACAACTGCTAACCTCATCAAAAAAGCCTTTTCCTAGATTACTTGAATCATTTAAACTTTTTAATACTACTCCTTGCCTTCCTAAATAACAAATCTTCACAGAGTAGAAAAATCGGATGGGTTCTACTAATTTAGGGAAGATTTTATTGAAGTTAGATATGAAGGAAAATGAGTTGGTTCTAGTGAAGATTTCGCGTTTATTTCCAGAACAGGGTAAAGAAGTTTTGGATTGGAAAAGGTTGGTTCGTATTTTTAAAGATTGTTTCGATGAACAATATAACGTTTTTTCGAAAAGAGAGAGAATACTCCTTCCAAAGCAAAATTAATACACTCTGAATTAGGAAAATTTTCCGTATTAGGAATCCAAGTGATAGGATTTGTTTCCGTGTTAGATTTATTCGAAGGAGTTTTTACCAGTTTTATCGGTTACTATACCTTTACGAATTTCCTCACGCCAATCTGTTGAAGGTTTTTTAGGAAGTACTCTAGGTCTGAGTGCCCTAGCTGAAAAAATTGTTGGAATGTCGGTAAGTATAAAAGATGAGATAAATCTTCTACCAATTTTTGAGGAACAGACTCCATCATCGTCAATGATGTCAACACGTATTCTTCACCAAGAAATTATTAGATATTGATTTATAGAATATATATTATATCCTTACTCTGTATTTTATTTTTATTTTATCAATAAAGCTGGCCCTGGTGGTTGATTTATCATAAACAATCATGTTTACTTTTGCATGTGTTGATTCCTCTGGAATTGTTTCCGGAATTTATTATGTTATATATGATCGATATATTTGGATGACACTGTAAAGGTAGGATATGATCCGGATTGATTATAATTAGGTGATACAATCTGTAATAATATAAGAAAATATGATTCAGATCATAATACACGAATAAATTTTATTTTTATTGATATAATGAGCATTTCATATTACATTACGATAAGCATATTACGGTAAAATGAATGGATGGAAGAAATTTTCAAAAACGAATTTGAAAGCTATCACGAAATATAATAGAAAACTGAAAAATATTAATATCAATAAGGTAAAAATTCTAATTTGTGTAATACCTATTTTGTATGAAATTAAAAGCATTATAAAATAAGAATAAAACTACTACCAAAAAAAAAGAAAAGAAACTTCCTCTTAAAAATAAAAAAACAAAGGTAAACCAAATCCAGCCATTCTGCCTAAAATATGAGTTATTATGTTAAAAGAGCCAAAAAATATAGAAACATATTCATTTTCGAAATTTACAATTAATTTTGCATTAAAAGTTTTTAGATATTCTGATCCAAGTCCGTGAAATACGAGTTGATAGGTGGTAATTGTGCTATGGTAGGATTGTTGTTTATTAGCACTCTATGAGCAGATGAATCGAGAGTAGTTGCTTTAAATGATTCATACACTTCTTTGCAAATAAACTTCTTTGGAGATCCTGTATCAATAAGGAAGTGGACATTCTTTACTTCTTGCTTGATTTTGACCGGCAAAGATATGAAAATTCTGAAACAAGGACCGAACATAATTTCATTCGCTTCATTCGCTTCTGTATGAGGAGAATCTGATAGGTATTTGATTTTGAGTTTTTTTAGAAATTTCTTCGTGTATTTCTTTAGAATGAATATCTTGTAATAGGAGGTCAAACATCTCTACCGGATACAGATCATTGATTTCATCAATTCATCAATCATCTTATTTTTTATTTGCAAGTTTATCTTGTATCACATTTAAATTCAACATATGACTGAGGGCCACAAAAAAACTGCTGGCAGAAAGTTCATGTATGCTAAGTTCTTTATATAAAGTTTCAATAATGATCATAAAAAACCGAAGGCTAATAAAAGTAATAAACCTGATAAATTTCTAGGAAACATCCTATAAATACGTATAATTAATTTAACGCATCCTCTTATATATACTGTCTCTCGTCACCCATAGTACAATAGTAAAGGTTGATTGATATTTTATTGTATTATATATGATCATATTAGTAATTTATGTTAGAGAAATATTAAGGTGTACAAGTGAAAAATTAAAGAACAAATAGAGCTGCAATAACAATCCCAAGACCCTAAATGATATTGTAGATCACTATGATTTCAAGATCCTTTATTATGGACATTAATGTCTAATTATTATTTGAAATATTTGATTGTGACCCTCTAAGTGCACCGTCTCTAAATATGCACATTCCTACTCAGTCCAAGGAGTGCATTTGTAGACGTTGACTGTATTTTTTTAAACCATATTGTTTAATCTTGAAGTACAGTAGGGAGAGCAGAAGACACTAAATATGTGGGGGCACTACACGATAATTGTTCCCAACATTTATAATATACATCAAGAATATTATTGCATTTTTTTCTACTGCTGCTTCATTCGCTACAGTTTGTGAAGGTGGTTGCCAAAAGCGTATCGCCTTAGTTACTTTGCAATAAGACAACATTGACCTTTTCCATATTTCCATAGAGAAATTTGAAATGTTCAACTTTTGACTTGGGAGGTGATTTGGTCAGATAAAAAAATCTTTTAGACCTCTGATTGATCAATCATGTAAGAGAAAATTTTTTTCTTCGTGTAAAGTTTATTTAAGCCTAACTCTATCTCATATAACAAATATTTACTTAAATAAATACCTACCGCTACAATTACAGGCATCAGATCGGTATAATTTATAAGCCTGTTTTACTAGGTAGCAAGATTAATATATAGTGAAACATGAAAAAAGATCAAGAAGAATTCTCGATTATGTTATTCCGAAAGATTATAGGGTTTATGCCCGATTCAATTTTTGTGCAGATTTTGATACAAAGATTATAAAAATACATTTAAAGAAATCATAAAAGTACAAGCATTTCTAAACCAGCAATAACCCAAAACTGATTTTTCGCTGAACTCTCATAATAAACCTTCCTTTCGATATCACGAGCTATCAATTCATCTTTTCTTAACTTTACCATAGATAAAATAGCAAATCTTCCATCCTCAAAAGCACCTGGATTTATAATTGCAGTCTGACCAATATGTGAAAGACCGAATGACCAATGTGAATGACCATGGATATTATTAATAATTCTAATATCATGTTTGAATGATGATGAATTTGTTTCAGAACTTGGTGAAGATGACATTATGAAATCGTGTAGTGCCAAACTTTTTTAAAAAGATATATTTTGATTTGTTATTTTGAAAAATATTTATCGCAATGATCATATGTCCCTCACCTTCCTGAACTTATTGCCAAAGAAGATTGCAATGGAAATTTATCAACATTTGTAGTTCCAACATCAGCAGGACCCACATGAGTTACAAGAATAATATCATCATCTTTTACTTTATTCAATAGATTTGGTAAATTTTTTGTAAAAAGTGATTCCGAATCCTTTGGATAAGCTTTGAAAATCATTCATTATATATATATATAAACAAAACCAATTAAAAAGTTTGTAAAAATCATTTACCAGGCCAGACAACGGTACCAGGCGAATTCTTCAAAACACCATTTGTGGAGCCACCAAACCCAACTATACTTAACCCCGGTTCTTTCACACACATTAGAATGAAGTGGAATTGGGTGGGTAGTTATGTAATATAACGATGATCAATAAAAAGTGAATAAGTAAATATGATAATATTTATTTCATAAACAAAGTTAATAAAAATATAATATTATTACCCAATTGCATTGTTTGATTATGCATATTCTTACATTTCTTATCATCATTATTACCACCATTATCTTGATCCTTTGATTGAGTAAAAGAAGTGTCTGGATCATGGTTCCCTGAATGTGATGTTATTATATAATAATTTTAATGACAATATAATAATAATAATAACAATATACAGTAGATTGATCATTTACCAGGAATGTAAAGTAATGGTTTATCTAAATTCCTCAATTCATTAATCACTTCATTAAATTCCTTCTTATCCTTATCATCAATATTTATTATTATGATTATGATAATTATAATTATAATAAATAATATAATCCTTGGAGAAATAAAAAACGTGATTTATAAAAAATCACCTTTTCAGTGGTCAAAGGTGTTAGATAGTCACAATTTACAAGATCCCCAGATGCAATAACATAATCAATTCTATTATAATATAATTATAATTATAATTAAAATATAATACAAACAAAATAATGAATTTTAGTGACTAGTCAACACACACTCTTTTAAACGATCTCGTTTTAACAACCATTGCTTTAGCTTTTTGATGTCTTCCAAGTGATAATGAATATCACTTACAAGAAGGAATGTATAATGACGCTTATCAGACATATTCTACAAAACAAAATAATTGATAATTGGCTGATCAATTCGTAAAAAATGGCGATCATGGCAAAATAATATCTCCTGTATATATTATTTTTACAGGACGTGGTGGATGTCGCTCTGTATGAAAGAAGATAAAGAATAATTTATTAATTGGTTAATAATAATAATAATTATTATTATTACTATTATTATTATTATTATATAATCATTCATCATCATCATCATTGTTATTGTTGTTGTTGTTTCAGGGTTCCATTAACCAAACTTGAACGTCTTGTAAAAGAGAACAAGATCAAAAACATAGAGATTTATTTATTTTCACTGCCAATTAAAGAATTTCAAATAATAGATCATCTTTTTTGGAGTCTCATTAAAAGATGAAGTTATGAAGATCATGCCTGTTCAAAAAATAAACGCGTGCAGGTCAAAGGATGTTATGTTTTGAAAACAATAAAATTTTTCTTCCAATAAATCTTATATATGTGTATATGTTTTAACTAAATTAACCAAATTAATTAATTAATAAATTATCGTTAGACATTTTTTGTAATTGGTGGCATGTTGGATTGGACGTTAAATGTTCTAAAGAAGCGGCAACAGCTATTCGTGGCGCAATCATCCTTGCCAAACTTTCAATCGTTCCTGTTACTAGGGCTCATTGATTGGTGAATCACACACTGTACCATCTAAAGTTACTGGTAAATGTGGTTCTGTGGTGTGCCTGCTCATAGAGGTACTGACTGGCAGAAAGTTCATGTATGCTAAGTTCTTTATATAAAGTTTCAATAATGATCATAAAAAACCGAAGGCTAATAAAAGTAATAAACCTGATAAATTTCTAGGAAACATCCTATAAATACGTATAATTAATTTAACGCATCCTCTTATATATACTGTCTCTCGTCACCCATAGTACAATAGTAAAGGTTGATTGATATTTTATTGTATTATATATGATCATATTAGTAATTTATGTTAGAGAAATATTAAGGTGTACAAGTGAAAAATTAAAGAACAAATAGAGCTGCAATAACAATCCCAAGACCCTAAATGATATTGTAGATCACTATGATTTCAAGATCCTTTATTG